TCCTTGGGTCCTTCCTGGGTCTGTTGTCGCGCAGGCCGGGAGCTCACGCGCACGCCGCCGGGTGATCGCAGACAGGCAGGTAGGCAGGCAGCTGAAAAAAACCCCCTCTGGGGTCCTTGGGTCCTTCCTGGGTCTGTTGTCGCGCAGGCCGGGAGCTCCCGCGCACACCGCCGGGTGATCGCAGACAGGCAGGCAGGCAGGCAGCTGAAAAAAACCCCCTCTGGGGTCCTTGGGTCCTTCCTGGGTCTCAAAAAAACAACTCTTCAATTCATTCATTTTTTTTGTATTGTTCCCTGAGTCTCCATTGTATTAATTTCTGCTCTGATCTTTATAATTTTCTCCCCTATTAGAGCTCTGGGTTTGTCTTGCTCTTCTTTTAGGAGTTTAAGATTCTGCAGGCAGGCAGGCAGCTGAAAAAAACCCCCTCTGGGGTCCTTGGGTCCTTCCTGGGTCTCAAAAAAACAACTCTTCAATTCATTCATTTTTTTTGTATTGTTCCCTGAGTCTCCATTGTATTAATTTCTGCTCTGATCTTTATAATTTTCTCCCCTATTAGAGCTCTGGGTTTGTCTTGCTCTTCTTTTCTAGGAGTTTAAGATTCATCATTAGGTTGTTTATTTGAGCTCACTGTTTTCCTAATGTGGGTACACTGCTATGAATTTCCCTCATAGAACTGCTTATCATGTGTCCCATAGATTGCTTTGTTGTATTGGCATTATCATTTATTTGTAAAATCTGTCTAATTTCTTCTTCAACCGCCTATGTGACCCATTGGTTTTTCAGGAGAGTGTTATTCAATTCCCATGTTTCTGTGAAGTTCTTGCATTTTCTTATGCAATATCCAGTTTATGCACTATGGTCTGATAATATACATGGGATAACTTCAATTACTTTCCATTTACTTAAACATGTTCTATGAGCTAGTATGTGATCTGTTTTGGAGAATGACCAGTGGTGTACAGCTGAGAAAAATGTATATTCTGATTTTGTGGGGTGGAGCACTCTGTAGACATCTATTAAGTCCATTTGTTCAAAAGCTTGGCTCGGTCCTAGTATTTCCTTGTTGATTTTCTGTGTAGATGATCTGTCTATTTATGAAATTGGGTATTGAGGTCCTTCACTACACAACTGTATTAGTGTTTATTTGGTTTTCATATCCCTTAATATTTGTTTTGTATAGTGGGGGGCATTAGTATTTGGTATAATTGTCATCTCTTCCTCTTGATTTGTTCCCTTTACAAGAATGTGGTGACCTTCTTTGTCTCTCTTAATTAGTTTTGGTTTGAAATTTACTTTGTGTGAAATTTACTCTGTCTGAAAATAAGATAGCCCTGCTTCTTTCTGGGTTCCTGTCACATGGAGAACTGTTTTCCATCCTTTTATTTTCAGTCTATGAGTTTCTTTTTTAACTAGGTGTGCTTTTAGTATACAGCATATTGTTGGATTTTGCTTCTTAATACATTCTGCCAGTCTATTTCTTTTGATTGCTGAAATGAGGCCATTAATATTGGTGGTTATACCTGATATGTATTGACTTATCATTGTCATGTTATTTTCCTATTGTTGGCTCTTTTTAATTTTCCCCGATGTCCTTTTAATTTCTTGTCTTGCCTGGTTGATTTGGTCTGTTGGGCCTCTTGGAGTTGTGACCTTCATTGTTTATTTCTAGGACATTGGTTAGAATTGTTTGGAGTGCTGGTTTGGTATCCATGAAGTTTCTTAAGTGTTCTTTGTCAACACATACATATTCTTGTAGGCAAACACAGACAGACTTTAATTTTCCCCGATGTCCTTTTAATTTCTTGTCTTGCCTGGTTGATTTGGTCTGTTGGGCCTCTTGGAGTTGTGACCTTCATTGTTTATTTCTAGGACATTGGTTAGAATTGTTTGGAGTGCTGGTTTGGTATCCATGAAGTTTCTTAAGTGTTCTTTGTCAACACATACATATTCTTGTAGGCAAACACAGACAGACACACACACACACACACACAGCTTTTCATACACAAGGGCACATTTTCCCAGCATCAACTTGCATATGTCATTATAAAGCTCAACAAGGTAAAAATATATAAAGACAACAATTTATCAGCTCTTCAGTAACTCCTTTCCCCTAGGTAATTGAAGCAATTAATTTTTAAACATTCAATTTCATAAGTAAAATAATCTTAACATGTATTACTTTAACAAAACCTATGGCATTAAAACATAGTCATCTTAATCAAATTCTTACTATATCTGAAGTGTAAATTCTTGATTAGAGCAGCTAATGATCTATAAAATGTAATTTAAATGAACACACAAATAATGTTACATTGAATTTCCTGAAATACTTTAAAGTAGAAATAAATTAATGAGTAACATATTCTAATATTTAGAATATTACAAGTCCTAGAGCCCTGCTTAAATTGCCCCACTGCTACCAGCATTTGCAAGTGGTATTACAAGTTGCTTGGTATTACAAGTTGCTTGATCCCTTGGCCAGAAAGTTTCTCAGCAAGGAGCCAAGAGCTGAGGTATAGAAAGAAAAAGTTGATCTCGGGTACAAAGACAAGCTCTTTCAAATTAGAAAGGCAATCATGCAGCTGCGGAGGGAAAGACTGAGTGAGGTAAAAATTGCCCTGACACAGACTGGGAGTTCCCCTGTAGCTTAGCCAAGCATGGCTTTTGCGATTGTACCTTTTCAGAATTCCCCTGCATTCTCCACACATTTGGACAGGCGCCGCATCACTTAACCCTTAACCTCTGTCTCTTCCAATGCCAGCCACCCCCACATTTATTTCCTAGCGTATAAGATGATTTATTTATCTATTATGCTTCTTACTTATTTTCTGGAAATAAGTAGTCTCTTTAGTGCATGGACACAAAGACCAGCATGGTACTCATGTGCTCTTTGAGATATTCTTGTTAACTTAGAGCTGTCAATGTGTGTTCGCTGTTTGTTACCCTTATGATACAAATGAGGAAACTTCAAGCCAAAGATAGAGCCCTGGTAGGAAACCAAATGATTCTATTTTCAAAGTCCTTTTTCCCTCTACTTCCATCTTTCTACCCCTCGGCTGCTTCCCCAACCCATTATTTGTTTGTTCTCTTCCAGAATCTTGGGATTAGTGCAATACTCATTTACTAACATGATATCTGGACCCTTGGCTGTGGTTTCCTCTTTTTTCTAGAGATTATAAAAATTTGCCTTGGCATGAATCAGGCTGGAATAACAGACAAAGCCCCCTGAAAAGTTAATGGAAGTGATGTCTCCCCCAAGAACACAGCACAGCTCTGAAGCGCCCCCTTGTTTGAGGGGCCACTGCTTTTAGACACACTGAGAAACTCTCTCCACCAAAGCCACAGACTATCAGAATATGAATTATAAAGCTCTTCAAATGTAGCCGAGCTTAAGAATAACTTTTTTCTAGTTAAATGGACCCAAAGAAGTGCAAAACGCTTTGGTATAGTAGGACCACAACAGAACCTTTTCAGTCCGAATCTTTGGCTCTGGATCCGAGTAGTCAGTATGGTCAGCGAAGGCCTCTCATGTTTACATGTGAGGAAACGAAAAGGCATTGCCTAACATGTTCTACTTCCTGTCCAGAGCACCCTCTCAGTTTTTGTTTTAATTTTGTATGGTTAGCACTGGGCCAAAAGTAACAGAAGAAAATGTGACAGAGAAAACAACGCTGAATACAAAGGTTTTGGTGTTGGAAAGATCCTGAGACAAGGCAGGCAGGGTGGGGCGGGTGGCTGAGGCAGGGATTGGAGCTGTTGAGGAGAAACACTCCCCCCAGCCCCTCACCGGAAGAGGGATTTAGATTTAGGAAATGAGAAGAGGCTGCTGTAACCTAAGATAAACGGACTTCTCAGGAAGCAGCTCATTATACACCTATCTACACACCGTGAATTAATATTTTATCATTTTATTCTAATGAATGGAATACTCCATTGTATTTGTGTGCTAAAAAATTTAAACGCACGGTAATATAATATATTCTTTTTAGACTTATTTGGGGACATTTTTACATATGCTGAGAGAATCAAAGTGACCCAAGCCTTGCTCCACCTGAGAGGCCCTGCCTGTGACAGATAACAAACACCAAACTGTTTAAAAACAATCACTGCAAATGTCCAGATTTCTCCACAAGGGGGCGTCTGCGTTTTAAGTAAAATTGAGAACACTTAAAACCTTACAAAGAAATTTCTTTATGTAGTAAAAGATCTATTTGCATGATAAAGATAGTTTAGGGTAGAGGGAATAAATATAGTATTGATGTAAAATTACATTATTTTCTCGATAATTTATGTTCTAATATTCTGAAATATCTAATTTCCATGTAATAAGAAGAAACAAAATATATACTGATAGCTGCATTTATAGAAGTTTTAGTTATGTTGTATCTTCTCTTGCTTTCATCAAAACAATTTAAATGGTAATACAATATATTATTGATTACTGGAATTCTGTGTAATTTTTGAATTGTCTGGAAATAGCAAGTGCAAGTGTGAACTTCCGATAGCTATATGAAATAAATATACTTTTAACTTGCTTCATTTTCCAATAAATAATGTTTATTGACTTTATTTTTAAAGAATTACTTTATAATTTCTGAAATGTTTTGAATAGGAATGTTTTCCATGGTTGTCAATAAATAAAAGTGTCTAACATATATTAAAAATGTATTTCTGAATTAGGATTACTATATTCAAAATAACCAGGTGACTTTTTCAAGATATAGGTTTTATGGTGTTATATTTTATAAAATAAATTCTAAACAAAGCCAGGTATTTCCTTTTGCACAACACATTTCAAAACACATAAACCAACAAGTGTGATGGCAATAGAACAGTCACTGAACACGAAGTAAACAAACAAACAAACAACAACAAACACTGAGAAGCACAAGTGAAAATAGTTAGTTGAATATCTAAGGAAGAGTGCTAAAATGTGGATGATGTGTTAACATCCTTGCTGCTCTTTCTTGTGGGAGGATTGTCCCTGTTCCCTTGATGTCATGCTTGGCCACATGTTTTAAAGTGTGCAGTGAAATACGAAGGCCATACAGAAGCTTTAAGAATCATTGAGGGGTCTCCACCATGTTTCTTTTTCTCTCTCTCTCGAGACCAGCAATTTTCCAGTGAGGGGTGTTTCATTAGCTTAGCTTTGGGAACATGGGCGAGATCCACAGCCTAGTTGTGATACTTAGCATGGAAATGTTGAAAACATGTTTGTTATAACTTCCCATTATCCTGGTTGATGAAATTAATTGTCCAAGCATAATGAAGAACACATACTATTGCCTACCACAGTTATCAGACCTTAGTGTTAGGAAGAGAACAGCCGTGGGCTCTCTCAGTAAGGCAAAAGGAAGCACTGTGGAAAGATGGGAACAATTGTTGGGTTTGGGCAGCAGATGGCTTCGGCAAATGCAACATTAGAAGTTGTGACTGGAGCATCAAACCCACAAATTATCACACCATACAATATTACCAGTAGGTCCTCCTTTACTGACTGTCATCTAGATGCCAAGGATGTTTTATGTGTCATTTCATATCATTCTCATAGCATCCTTCAATTTGATGTTATTATTTTCCTTTCTTCTTCATGACACAATAAATTTGGAAATGTTAAGTTCATTCCCTTTTCACTCATTCATAACTGAATCAACTAATACTAATTAAATGCCTATGATCAATCAAGTGGTACAATTAAGTTGTCAAACCCTTGCTTTTTTTTATTTCAGAGCCTATGTTCTCTCCAACCCATAAGGCTCTGTGGTAGGCAGAATTCTGAAATGATGCTCAGGATTTCCTGCTTGTAGGGAATTGCAGGTCAGAAATGTAATTCAAACAGCCCCCTGTGGTTTTGAGTTTAGCTCCCAGAAGATGACATTCAGCAAAACAATGGGGATGTCAGTCCTGCAGCTGCAAAGAGATGGATTTTGGCAACAGCCTGGCAGAGCTTGATACCTGTCCCTAGTGACAGATACAGCTGAGGACAGCTGTAGCCAAGTCTTCTGAGACTGATTCTGAGCAAAGGACTGACTAAATATGCCCGACTCATGCACTTAAGAATATGTGCTACATTAGGTCACTGACAGTGGAGCACAGCAGCCCGGGCCAGCCTGGGCAGGTGTGAGAGCCCATCTCAAAAACAGAAAATGAATGAACCGTGGGTGGGTAACTTTGAGTCCTTAATATCAAGAATAATTTGCTTTTATAAAATAAGAAAATATGATGGCAAAGTCCAGAAATATGTTCAGCCATAGAACAAAGCAAAAGAACAAAGCAAAAGAAAGGAAGTGATGAACAATGATTATCCTACTGTATTCTATGCTAAGCTTCCTTCTATACACCAGCACTTTCTATTCTCTTCTTTTCAAGGTAATTCCTGAATTATTTTAATTTTTCCATACACACTAAATGAGTTATTTGTTGACTCTGCATGAGGGTTTGGACAGTTTTAATCCACCCATAATAGATGACTTTGAGCATGAGCTATTTTCCAGAACCTGAGTCATTAATTTAGACTTCCCGTTCTCGAAAATCGGTCATGACTACACAGTTCTCTGTGGCAGTTAGGCTAGGCTGCCTAGTGCTTTCTTTTGTGTAAAACTCAGAAGTCTCTTCAAAAGTTTTTCCCATGAGGAAAACAATACGACCAAATAAAAGGGCATGCTCATTATTATAATCTTAGTTCTATGCACTTATTTCCTAAATATTATCCTTGACTTCACTTTTTTATGTTTTTTTCTCTATTTTTATTATGTACTGTAGGCTAAACATTGGTTAAGTATTTGAGATTTGTAGTTTTTGGCCAGCCATGTAACTTTTGTGTAACATTCTTTTTTTTATTTGATCTTATTATTCTGTAGCCAAGCCTTCATGAACAATTTTAAATTTTTTATACATAAGTGTATAGAATGTCACTTTACTAAAATGAAGGACCATTATTTTCAGGGAATTCCTTTCCTATTTTAAATCTTATGCTAAAATCAGTTTGTATTGTTAGAAAAGTTTGGATAATACGCTATAAGAGAGATGTTTGTACAATATAGTCTTGCAAGTTTATTAATAGCATAAAGAGAAAAATAAGGCAAAAGATCAGTAAACTGATCATCTAACTTACAGTCCTATGCAATTTAATGAGAATTCATCCAAAGTTCTTAAACAAGTCTTCTCTGGTGTTTGCCATGAAGTATGTTCCATTATTTCTTTCCTTCTTTCTTTAAAAATTTTTTTTCAATCTTCATTAGTATTCACTGTCAGAATGCCCTTGGTCCAAATTCCTTTACTTCCACTTTAACTTGTTCCTTTGACTTATGGGTGTCCATTCCCCAAAACAACCTTCTTTCCCAGTTGTGCTTTTAAAGTGTTTGGGATGTAATTACCTTAAGTTTCAATATCCTTGTTTCTATTAATTTCTCCCTTGTCTTTCTAGAATTCTACTTGTCTTATCATTTGGAGTTTGCACTGTTTTGAGCCATGTATAAAAGATTGAAATTCCACTTGCTAGTCATTGAATAATAAGCTACAGTCAGCACTAAAGAAATTATTCATTTCTTTTATAAAATTTTGAGAAGGCATACTCTGCCTTTAGGAGAACACTCTTGAGGTCAGAACATATAAGATTTCATAGCACAGACCGTGAAGTTTCTGGCCTGTGACCTATACGAGAACATCAGAATTAGATTCTGGGTCAGATGTTGTGACTTCCTAATCTAGGCTCCGAAATTTTCTTGTAACTTTGAGCAAGTTCCGTAACATCTTCATTTTTGTCTCATTTAAAAATGAAAGGACTGGATATATCCGGAATAGACAATATATTGCCTATGAGTTTTTCTTAATCTATCTGAATCTATGCAGCAACCTTTATTCTTTCTTTCTTTTTTTTTTTTTTTTTTTTTTTTTTTTTTTTTTTTTTTTTTTTGGTACCAGGGATTGAACTCGGGTCCTTGCGCTTGCAAGGCAGACCACTGAACAGCTGAGCTAAATCCCCAGACCCCAACCTTTATTCTTATACTACACAAATTTCAACAAAATTATCAACCTGGCTGTGTTGTTGTAATCTAACAAAAAAGAATATACTATTAAGATACATGACATCCAAGTGCATTTCTAGTTTTCTAGTCTTCCATCATGTTGTACATCCATTTCCTGTGCATGGAACCTGGTGTGAACTCTAGAAGTTCTCCATTGGGCTCTAGTTCTCCTCCATGCATTCCTTGCTGCCTTTTTATAATTGCTTTATAATTGCAGAGTGCAGTTTGCCTGCTACTGTGCAGAAAAAATGGTGAAGACAGTGATTCCCACACTGTGTGAACCAGTGTCTACTGAAACATGGATTACAGTAAAGGATTTGTCTCCAGTTGTTCATTTATTGGGTGGAGAGAAAACCCTCAAATCTGTGGTTCTAGTAAGCTTCCTGGTGACTGAGATGCAGTTCTTCTGAGGATCATACTTAGAAAACAGTTGCTATCCAAAGCATTTCTTAACCTAGAGTCTGTAAATTTCCAAGGCCTACTGAGAGACATGAGGGTGTTTATTAAAATAATGAGTTATAGCATTTATAGCTGCACCTTTACTAACTACTATGAATGTAGGCAACAAAGTGCATAGACATCAATGGCAATAAAAATGTTAAGGCTGAACTGTAGTCCGAAAACTAGGCCCGTTCTGATGAGGCAAACTCGGTATGAGGGTCTGGCAGTGGCTGAATGGGAAGTGCACGGTAAAGTCAACCTCTTGTATCTCAGGAGGTGCCCATCAAGCTACGGCTGAAACAAAACCTCACATTTCATGATGCAACTCTGTCTTTTTGTGATTTTACACGGCACTGTAATGAGGTGGTACTGATATTTTTTCAAGTCTGATTGTCCCTCGGGTTAATGATTCTAATGCAGTGCTCCTGGTGCTGGTGGTGAGCAGCACATAGATGATGTGCAAACTGGCTCATAACCTCACAGCATCCACCGTCCGAGGACTGTGCACTTTCATGCTTCTCCTTACTTTTAAATTGTTCAGCTTTCTCCCATCCCAAATCAATGATCCAGTAGCAGTCATTTACACTTTATGAGAATTTTGCTCTGTGTTTCCAGTCTGGGACATTTGCTTTGTTTTCTTTCTTTTGGATAAAAAGCAAATAAAGACAACTTGGGAAAAAAGAAAGCACTCAATGCCACCTGTGTTCCAACACT